CTTGAATTATATTGAAACTAATTTATTTATTATAACGGAACGGTTATTTTATTTAAAAAGACATCGATAATTTAAAAATTTTGTAATAAAATGACTTTGAGAACAAATTCATCCAATCATTATATTTCCTTCCTGTAAAAGTGCAACTTTTTCTTTTGCAGTTTTTTAATACGATTATAAAGTGGACAGAGTTATTAATGGATTCTGTATATTGCATAAATTAATTTCTTAATTATAAAAAAATTTATATAATTAGAAATTAACAATGAATTGATAAGAGTTAAAACGATATTAAATGTAAGTTAAATTCGATATTTTAAGCTAAAGTTGATCAAAAATTTGTATTGGCAAAAGAAAAATTCAAATACGTGGACGTCATATTGAAATAAAAATTAGATTAACAAAAAATGAAATTTACATATTGGTACGTGATTTTAAAATCGTACGGAGGGGACTCTTAAATACAATTGTCAGAAGAACAAAATCACTGGAACGGAAACACGGACGCTTTTTATTTGTCCTTGAAATTTTATCGGTAGTATTTTATATAGCTCGAATAAAAAATTCGATTTTTTGAACTTTGAACCTCTTCTTCCAATCTTTATCAACAGAAATAGAATAATCATCAAAATTTTGTTTTCCGATTGTCGTTCTTACCATGAAAATTTGATATATAGACCAGGTTTTCTCAGGCAGTGACTTTAAACGAAATTTCCGTTTTTTTTTAATCAATTTCTTACATTATTCGTTTATATGTATAATTATTTATTAAAGAAAATACGAAAGAAAAATAAATAAAAAATAAAAAAACAAAAAAAGATGTGAATGTATAGTATCAAAAATTTTTCACAATGGGAATATTGAAAATAAAAAAGAAAATAAATCGAAGATAATAAAATGAAATATGAACTTTGGATATTATCAAAATTTTTTACATTCTCAAAACTCTTAATGAATTATAAGTAAAATTGAATAGATAGTTTAACGACGCAATAAAAGAAAAACCTTAGTCTGTGACAATGTATTATACGACTTATATACTTTATTTGATCACGTGATTCGGTAAGAGATAAACGATTCTTGGAAAATAACTTACGATAATTATCAATGTGAGTTCCTACATTTTTAATATATTTTCTCTTAAATACAATCACCTTATTTTAAGAACATATTTATAATTTAAATTATTTTTAAACTAATAAAAATAATAATAATTACCGGCAAATCCATTTTAACGATGATAAGTGAGATAAAGAATCCGTTAAAAGATAATGAACGTTTACTTTTATATAAATAGATATATATGTATATATATATAAAGAGGGGTTATATTTTGAATATTGAAATAAGGAACAACACAATAGAACACAACATCGACTATCGATGCACTACGAGCGACTAAAAGACCATTTACGTGAAGATTTCCCTCACGTCGAGATGGCGAAAATTTATTGTACGCATGCGTTTGTAACTCGATTTATTCATTTATTTTTCCCTCTCCTCTTTGAATTTTAGCATTTTCATTGGTTGTCATTGTTATCGTGTCAACGGTTTACTCTTCTAACTTGTTACGGTCTACTATGTGACACTGAATATAACAGCAAGAATTTGTCAAATAAACAAGTCATTTCCTATCTAGTACTTTATTCAATCATAAGTTAAATATTATGAAATTATACTTTTTAATGTAACTCTTAAAAAAAAAGCTCTATATACGTGAATTATATATAGTTGGGTATAAGAGTAAATGATAAAAGTATTATAAAAAAAACTACTACTGATAGCTATTGCTACAATTATTAGGTAATTAAAATTTATATAATTTCAATAAATATTTTCGAACGTTTATTTAAAATTGTTAAAATTATCTGTGTTCTATTGTTTCGTTTACCTAACAGAACTCTAACTCTGTTAATTTTCCATATATTTTCTGTTCAACAATTGCATTAACTTTATTGATTAATTTCAATTTGGATCTTAAAGTGATCATTGTAATAATTTAATGTTAGAATTTTTTTGCAATATGTTTAGATCGACAATAGACCAAATCTTTACTATTTGACAGATCTTAGAAAAAAAATGGGTATTTAATCAGCCGGTACACACCAACTTTATATAGATTTCCAAAAAGCGTACGATTCGGTAAGACGAGAAAAAATGCTCGAAATCCTAATACAACAGGGGATACCAAGAAAATTGGTCAACCTGGTTCAATTTTGCCTAAAGGAAACAAGGGGTAAAGTGAGGATAGGTAACCAAATGTCGGAAGATTTTAGTATTCATAGCGGGTTAAAATAGGGGGACGCATTGTCACCTCTTCTGTTCAATTTAGTACTAGAATTCGCTGTCAAAGAACTGCAGAAAAGTAAAGATGGTCTACAGTTGAACGGGACAACACAATTGTTGACATACGCGAACGATATTGCTTTGTTAGGGGACAATAAAGAGTCATTAATTAATAACGCGAAAATACTAATAGATAACACGAAAGATTTGGGGCTACAAATAAGCGCGGAGAAAACCAAATATATGGTCACCGATAGAATTTAGAATATGCCTAGTACTGGAACTTTGGTCGTCCGGGATAAAATTTTCGAACGGGTCAGCAACTTTAGGTATATTTAGGATCGATCATAAACCAGACGAACGAAATTAAAGAAGAACTTAAGAAAAGAATCAATTTAGGCAATGCATGCTTTTATTCAGTTAATAAATTACTCAGCTCGCGGTTGCTGTCTAGGTGATTAAAAATTAGGATATACAGAACAATCATCCTGCTAGTAATCCTTTATGGTAACGAAACGTTGTCGCTTACGTTACGGGACGAAAAGAAATTTAAGGTTTTCGAAAACAAAGTTCTTCGTAAAATCTTCGGTGCAAAACGCGATGAGGAAACGGGCGAATATAACGTAGAAGAACGTACATAACGTAGAAGTACATCGATTGTACAACAAACCGGACATTATTAACGTCGTAAAATCACGCCGATTAAGATGGGCTGGTAACGTGGCGTGCATGGGGGAGGATGGAACGGCGCATAAAATATTGGTCAGTATACCGAACGGGAAAAGACCACTAGGTAGACCGAGACGTAAATGGAAGGATAATATTAGAAGAGATCTGAAAGAAATAGGATACGAAGACCGCGAATGGAAGGATCGTGCTCAGGGACGGGAAAAATGGCGGGATTTGGTATTTGTAGCAATGAACTTTCGAGTTCCTAATGCCAACTAATAATTATAATAATAATAATAATAATAATAATAATAATAATAATAATAATGTTTAGGATTATCAGCTCGTTGTTGTTGTTAGTTGTGGAATAAATTCTTTACCAAGAGCCATTTTTTACTGCTGCGAAAATAAAATTTGTCTTTAATAACACCAATATATTTTTTAACAGTCATAAAACTGTCTACAAGTTTTAATATTTCATATATAAAATCGAGATATGAGACCATACCGTGGTATAGATTCACTCTCATGTTTTACTCCGTCAATTCCGATAATTACATACGTATTTCTAGAACCTATTCTTTATTTTTTTTCCTGATTGTATGCGTATTAATTAGCATAACTGTAGATTATATATGCACTTCTCTTATTTATTACATCATACATTATATAGTATAATTATTTATGTTGAATGAGAAAAAATATTAAACGAGGCCTTAAGAGGTTAAATAATTTTCTTTTCAAGGAAGGATCACAGAAATCATGAATATTCTTCTATCGTGAATCAAGAATTGAAATATTAAATAAAATATCAATGACGTGAATTCTTTGTTTTTCTTCGACTTTTTTTTTCTATTTTTATTTATTTATTTGTTTTGTCATTGTTTTTAAAGCAAGATCTCTCGATTTTTCAGAGATATTACGATTAATGCAAGTATAAATATATTAGGTTGATGCATATGAAATGTCGGATTTTTTTTACGTGCAAAAATTTCTCTTCCTGTTTTCGTTACGCTTTGGTTTTTGGCATAACCTCGTTTATAGTCGTACTGTCCATCGCCAGAGTTACATTTCAACAAAGGAGATTTTCTCAAAAGTGTTCCCTTTTGTTATTTGTTTTGAATTTTGTACCAATATGAATTCCACCGAAATTCGTGTCATTTTCTTGTATGAGTATAAACTTGGTAATAATGCTGTAAAAGCTGCACGCAACATAAACCAGGCGTTTGGGGAGAATACTATTAACCCCTTAACCTACGATTTATGTTCGAGAATTTAGGGCCGAAAACGTAAACAAGTTCGCGCAGCCTTCGAGCCATTCGCACGACTTAAGTAATACATTGATCGAGCAAAACGTAAATATTATGATCATCGTATACGGGCTATGCCAGTAGTTGTAGGTTAAGTGGTTAAATGCTCATTCGTATGCTCGACGATTTAGTATTTATTTTATCTTTTTTATTTGCTTTTTTTTTTTTTTTTTTTTAATACAAATTTTTACCTCCTTTATTTTTTATTTAGTAATTATTCTATCTCAATTTTTAATAAAAAATAATGACGAACTTACTTATTTAACGATGTAAATGATAATCAGTAATAGTCAATAAAATACGCTAATTGATTTTATGATGAGAAAAAAAATTCCTCTACCTATTTTCCTGTTGTAATTATGATTGAAAGGTATATTACACGTTTGGAGGAGGATAAATTTATCATATATTTTTTCGTTATAACTTTTCGTAGAAGAATGATTTTCAATTTGTTATCTAAATACAGAGCCTGATTAATAGCACGCGATGAATCCACGTGATGATTTTTAGTTCCTGATTTTATTTTAATCAGTTAGCTGTGAATGACGAGTATACCTAACACAATTATTATTAACAATTTTACAATTCCTACAATTATTATTAACAATTATTAAAAAAAAAATGAAAAATTCAAAAGATTTGATTTACAATTCATATCTCTGCGTTTATATAACTGTAATAAACATAATTTATAGTTAAATAATAAAAAAAATAAGATAAAAAATTCAAGGTGAATGATAATATTTTCTTTTTGCAAAATTATATATGCATACTTAGTCTCTTGTTATATTGTTAGAAAATTGTCTTTGAGAAAAAATTATTTTCATCATCGAACGTATTATTTAAATAGCTGTAACTTTGTCTTGATCGTTTTCTCATATAAATACAAAATAACGGAGATATGTTATAACTGAAATGGTAATAGCTCCCGACCACCCGGTATATATGACTCGTGTCAGAGTTTTTTATCAATATAAAAATCGACTTTCATTATGGCACTAATGCATTTAGTAACAAGAAAACGGAAAAAGTGAGAAAGTCTTCATTTCTGTAATGAAATAAGGTAATAATAAGCGAATGAAATTAATGTTAAAATAAATTGTACAAATCTTGATTATTATCAGGTTTTACTAATATAAGATATCGTAGATATCGATAAATATCCGTATAATTGCTTTACGTGAGTGATAAGAATTCAAAAAAGAACTTATCTGCAGTGACTTTCACAAATATTCGGACGCAAAAGTGATAGCTAAATTTATGACTTTATATTTTGATTATTTCAAAACTTAGCCTTTGTTTTTGTTTTAATTCGGCTATTGAAACAATTGGAATTTTCCTAATTTTCTTCTCTAATTCATCTCATAAATTATCAATGGGATTAAGATTCAGTGATTGATTTGAGATGAAGAATTTTGAGTCATTGATTTAATAAAAAATTTTGCACAATGAGTGCTTCATGCTGGAGGTATTTGTCCTAATGAACATTTTTTTTATGTTCCTCTTTATTATTTGTTCCTATTTATAGAAATATTAACAAATACTTATAACGACAAGAATTATAGGATATCTTTAAGATATATTTGAGTTATTTGTCGAGTTATGTAGTGAGCAAATTTAATAAATTCAACGGGTGCTTTCACTATAGTCTTTTGGCTATTTCTTTGTAACAGTTTACTGTAGGTAGATTCGCATGGGTTTTGATTCTGATTTTGTGTGATTGTGTAAGTCTTATTATTTCTTCTTGCCCAAAATGTGCGTTCAATATTTTACGAATGTTATTATTACGGATATACCAGAGTGCATTAAAGATTGCAAAACGAATTATTAATTGAAGGCTTTCCATTTTTTAAATGTGTTACTTGGCAGTCATTTTTTAAAGTTACRTTATTATTATTGGATTATTATTATCCCGGCTTTTTGGAATTACGAAGTAAATTGTTTTTAAGTATATGTAAAGATTTTAATACATTAAGTAACATCAAGATTCCGGGTACATTAAAAAAAATGCAACCTCTCAAACTTTTAACAATTTACTGTAGTCTTTGCATTTTAGAAATAATATTTTTTATTTATTTATCGCCACGCTATTGAACTTCCTTGCAAATTTTAAAGGTTGAATTTGCTTTCGTCAAAAAATATTATATTTTTCTATATGTTATTAGATTTCAACATTGTCTTCCTCAATTTATTTGAATATAAATATACCATATGTTTAAAAGATTATTCAAAATGACGTCATTGCTATAATTTCCATGATATTAAGCATTTTTAATATATGGAAATAAATGAACTTACATTTATAATTGTTTTCTAGAGAAATTTCATAGCAGTGATATTATCAAATATTTATAATATAGTTCATATTCTTTTGTTAGATCGTTCACTGTTATATCGAGCTCGTTGGAAATAGCCAAGGAAAAACATTATTTGTTTTGACACCAAAATGGCATTCAACATAGTTTACAAATTTTTTATCACTTGATCCGGAAATTATCTAAATCAATTCTTGTGAAAATATTAATAAATAAATCAATCAAAAAGAGATATAACAACGGAAAAATTGATCTCAAAGCCATGAAAAATATTGCATCGAGTTAGAACCTAAATAAAATATGCAATAATCATCACCATGTATCGTTACGCGAATGTAATATTAATATATACAATGATCGAAGGATAGTCATCTAATGTAAGCATAAATAATTATTTTTAAGGTCAGTTATATACCGTGTTTTCTTTTATCTTAATTATAAATATTATTTTTTCTAATTAATCTCATGTGTCAAAGATAAAATAATTTGAAATACAACAATCTAAGAAATCTTTTTTTGTAAATATTCATAATTGTATATGAATACAAATTAACCATACACCTTAATTGTATCATTAAAGATTTAATTAAATGAGAAAAGAAAGGAATTGTCATGTCGAAATCATCGGAAAGCAATAACGACAAATTTCAACCAATAAAATATTGCGAAGTAAGTTGAAATTTATTCTCTACTTTGTAATCCTGTACCATATTTGTGAAATCTCGTAATTTCATTGCAAAATAATAACTTTTCTCTGTAATCCCACGTGATTATTATTTCTGTTTGAACATTTTTTCTCGAGAAAAAAATCTTTGAAAAAAATTACAATAAATAAAAAATTTTTGAAAAAAAATCATTTTATCTAAATTTTGCATTTCTTGAGAAATTATTATTATTTCTAAATAAATAAATAAATAAAAAAAGTTTTTGTAGAGTTTATTAATCCTAGCTCAAGCTAGGATTCGATATTTTTCGATATTATCGGTAAATACTTTTTAAATCTAATCTTAAGAGAGTACTCTAATCTTTTATTTTCTTTGTTTTATTTCTTATTTATCATTTTTTATGATCGTAACGTACTATTATATTATGCAATAGTATATTACAATGAACAGATTACATAACTAAAAATAATTATATAGTTCGAATGTTTTCAGTATTATTAATTTGGATGTACGACTAAAAGTATTTGAATGATGTGATAAAATAAAATTTCAGAATGGAAAAATTGAGGAAGGAAGAATCGGTGGGGTCAAAGTACGAGAAACATTGAATATAAATGACAATGGTAATATGAAGCAAATGAAATGGCCGACATTGTGCGATGCAAATCCATATATAGTGGATCTTTGGAAAAATCTCTTCAAGAAAAAAGAAAAATCAGAAACCGTAAAATCCGAAACCGTAAAATCCGAAACCGTAAAATCCGAAACCGTAAAATCCGAAACCGTAAAATCCGAAACCGCATCATCCGAAACCGCATCATCGACTAATTAAACTCAACATTATTGATTTTTCGATCTTAAAAATTTGTAAAAAAAAAAAAGAACATTAATAACCGATGAAATTAAATTAGTTTTTAATAATTTTGTCTTTCTATCTTTTTTTAAAAGTAAATAAATTGTCTAGAATCGATATACATAGATGGGTTGAAAAATTTTGAACTTAACATAGAAGCAATGTATTTTTTGGTCAAATTCATTTTTATCAACACTTTGACTGCCACGTCAGTCTTCCATGACGTGACGTTTGTTCTTTCAATGGGGCCGTTTGAGTTATCTATGACTAACTTTACTACAGGGTAGCACAATAAGAATTGCAATTTTAATCTATTAATGAAAATTTTGCTCAAAGAGTTATCATCTGTACCTTGAGCTGATATCATTCCTCATATATAATTCCTATGTGTAATAATCTTATTGATATCAATAAACATGGACATTAAAAAAAATTCGCTTTTTTTTTGTATTGATTTTAAATTGAACTTTTTGTTGCGTCACCTTCTATATTGTTTTATATCTAATCTTTAAATTACAGCCTCGACGGCAAATTACGTAAAACTTGCGTGATAGTTAATGCGTTAAAAAAACATGAGTAGAAGTGTTGTATTTTCTTGAGTTTTACAATTTGTCAACTTATTCCTCTTATATATTATATTATTTTTTTWAAATAAAATAAAAACAAAAGAGGAATGTAGAAAAAGCCGATCCATATGTATGAATGCAGTACGATGAACTTTAAACCTTTTTTTAAACTGAATCTTTTCTTCTGAATTTTATCTTATACTCATCTCAAATGTATAATTCAAAAGAATCAGAATACAACTATTATTAAATTTCGTCATTTGTAACCGTTGTTAAGGGTAAAAGTTTTCTTTGTAAATGAGATGGACAAATTCAATATTTTAAATTAAAATAAATGTTATTTTAAAAATGTGAAATGAAAAGAAAAAAATATATCTTTTAAGAACAAAAGGATAATATATAATATTTAATTTTTTTCTTAACTGTTTGTTTTTCTTTTATCATTCGACAAAATTTTCAACATACGTGAAATAAAATATGGAATAATAAATAACAAATAGATTGATACAAAATTGATATTTATATAAAAAATCATTGGATTTCTAACAATAAAATAAATTATTTAAAGAAATAAGCAGATAGTATAGTTTCAGTGTTAACAAAGAAATCTTACAATTATTATTAACAAATTGAAATTACGTATATACGTGTTACATAGATTCGCCCGGTGTCTATTTTAATTTATCATGTATGATTCGCATGAACGTATGATTTATAAAACATATAGTGAATCACGGAACACAAATTTCATTTAAAATTGACATCTCCCTTTCTCTTTCTCCCCCTTCCCATTATGTACTATCATTCTATCTCTCTATCGTTTCATGTATTATTTCTCCTATTCCTTCTCTTTTTTTTCCCACTTTATTTTTTCCCTTTCTTCCTTTCTCAATCTTACTCACCAATCGCCACCTGTCAGAATATAATGTGTTAAATTTACATACCAGACGAAATTGAAGGATTCCCGATGAGTGTTATTAATTTTTGGAAAGTTGCTTCTCTTTCCTTGCTCTACTAAGATAAATGATCACAATGTGAATTTTCTGCTTCTATTATTTCTTCACAGTTCTTCCTATTTTTCTTCTTCTTTTTTTTTTTTTTTTTATTAACAAACACTGTGTAATACCAAGAAGAAATTGTTAAAGTGATTCAATGCACGTTTGGAATGATACTGCAACTCGACAGAAACGTGATGGACCTTTATAACAAATAAGAGATGCATAAGAAAGAAATAAAAAGAAATACAAAGAAATAGAAAAGAGATTAAAACAAAATTAAAACAAAATTAAAAAGAAATTTTTAAAAAATAAAAAATAAAAACAAATCAAATTTTCTTTACACCAGAAGTAGATATGACAACAATTTTTTTCGTTCACAAGGAATTTAACAGTTCGCGACTCGACTCACTGACTAACCGAAGCTCTTCTTTTTAAAGATGGAAAGTTGGAAGGAACCGACATGAGCAGAAGTGTAGGACAGTGATATGTGTGTGTGTGTGTTGTGCAGTGGGTAATGTATCTAGAGTGTGTGCATGCATGCAGCGTGTTATGTGTACTGCTACGTTTTCTCTCGATATACAATTTGTGTGACGTATATCTGTAAGAGAGAACGTGTGAGTCAAAAAAAAGGAGGAGGAAAGAAATAAAAATTTCAGTCACGACGAATAATGACGACGATCGGTAACGATCTACAACGATAGTAGATCGATCCTTTCACGATTCCGAAGGTTGTCGTATATGCAATTCCACAAACAACAAAAATATTCCTGATTTTTATGCTTCTTCTACTTGTGTCTTATAAATAAATTCTCATAAATGAGAATCCCTGTTATTAGTTATTTTTTTGTGTCGATAATTACGACGTACAATTTATTTTATAATATAAATAATTTTTAATATAATTTATAATATTAATAAGAAAACAAAAATTCACATTTAGTTTATCTTTTTTCTATTCGGTTGTTAACTTGAACATTCTAACGGAAATGGCGGTAAAGTTTTAACAAAATGCGCGCTTTATTTGAAACTTTTCTAACAGCTTTTACTGGTTCTTATGAAGTTAGATTAATAACAAGTCGAAAAATTGGAGAAAATTGATTCTATGATTTATTTCGAAATATTAATAGTTGTAATAAATTAATTATTTTACTTAGTTTTCTATCATAATTAATGGCATACTTAGAAATATTTAATTACAAAGTAAACATCGCTTACATTTAATCGAATTATTCGTAGAAAAAAATGAAATCAATTTATTTAATAGTTCATAACTTCGTACTCTTGGTCCACTCACTTTGATCAATTATTTTCAATTCGTTGATTCGTCGAAATATTTATATGGAACAATCGAAACATTTCGATTTAATCTTTTTTTTAATTTTATCTTCATTTTCCTTGGATTTACTTTCCAAAGCTAAAATAAAAAGGATAGAAATCAAAATAAACGTGTCTTAAAATTGAAGTTCAAAGTCGTTAAACTTCTGTAACCAAATTAAATGTTTCTTTTGTTTGAACATTTATTCTCAATCTGAAATCAATTTTTTCAATTTTTCGTCTTACTATATTGTCATAATTACTAGCACAATTGTATGACATCAAAGTTACATAAAGTATGCAAAATACAACCTACTTATTAAATCCGAGCCGATATTCATTGGTACTATTTTGTTATTTTCTAATTCTCGTAAAACCATTGCATTGAAGCATAAACTAGCAACTCTTGCGAACAATTCATTAACTCCGTCTCCAGTTCTAGCTGAAACTGTCCAATATTCGGCTCTCATTCGATTCGCAACATCTATCGCACGATTTTCAATAATCTCGTATACTTTGTTCGACTGAAAATAAATAAACACCAAATGTTAAATTTAAAAAAGGAAAAACAAAAAATAAATATAGTTACTCAGACTTTCGTGAAATTAGATTTAGATTATCTTACCAGTAAATCTCTTTTCATACCAACTAAAAAAACATGACAAAAGTTAGTGTTACTTTTATATGCTTCTAATAACCATTGTTGACAATGTGCCAAGGTTACTAAATTTCCAACATCAAAAACAACTATAATCGCTGTAACATAAATGAATTTCAGATTTGTTAGTGGACAAATTATAAATTAAAAAATTCATTTTATGACTTATTTTGTAATTAAAATTACGGATAAATAATGTGAAACGTAATATTCTTCCATAATGCGTTCAATAATAAAGTTAAATTTTTGTATATAAAATGAATTTACCATTAGCAGATCGATAATAGGAAGCAGCGATACATTTGAATCGCTCTTGTCCAGCCGTATCCCATCTGAAAGTATAATTTTATTTTTACAGTTCAGTGTGTTGTGCTTGTCTTAGGGGGAAGAATTTGAAGAATTTCAAACATTCACTTACATTTGCAAATAAAATGGAACACCAAGAACATCAAACCTTTCTACTTCAAAATCTACACCAATGGTAGCCTTATAGTTGTTGTCAAAAAGTTTGTGACAAAAACTAATAAACAAAATAATATTATTATTTTTATAATGTTTAAATTAATAAAATTAGAAGAGTCATTCTAGCCGAAAATTAAGGAAAAATTGTCGTAGAAAGTTTTTCAGAGACGGAGGTAGCTACTTTTATTTACAAAAATTCCTTTTTTTTCAGAAATTATCTTCTATTAGTTTAAGATGTGATAATAAGGTAGAAAAAATTTTAAACCAAAACTCATTGTTTTTATTGAAAAATAAATTCACGAAAATAATTTTATTTTTGCAATGCTTGACCAGAATAACTCCTTAAGTTAACACTTTGTAAGCGAGCGCCATTTTTAAACGTGTAGCAACAAAATTTAGTTACTATATAGAGTCATTTGCCAAAAAAAAATAAATTAATTGTTATTTTTACAAGAATGAACAATTTATTAATTTTTACTGCTATCACATCACTGAGATTAGTCTCTCGCTTTTGACGTTTGTTCTTATCCGAACCGTGATCATAATTTCCCGTCTACAAAGTGTTACACTAAAAAACAAATTTTAAATATATATATTATATTATACCGATTTACTAATGACGTTTTTCCAACTGCTACATCTCCAATGACAATTACTTTCGATATTCGAAGGGTAAAAGATTTTTCTGCACAAGCTTGTTTAACGACATCATTGAAATCTCTTTCGTAGTAAGGAGTTATCGCTGAAGAAAATGGGGGTGGCCATTTTTTAATCTATCGATAATTATATTATTATATTTTATGTATAGAAATTGAAATAAACAATATAAAACATACTATATATATATACCTGTCGTTCTTCGTGAGCGTTAGTTTTCATTAATTTAAATACAGCAGAACGTGTTTCTAACATCCTTTTCAATGGAATATATATATTTAATTAAAAAAAATAATCAACTAATCAATTAACAATAAACAATAACAAATTTTTTTTTAATGTTATATCATCACACTGTTATAAATATACTTTTACGAGAAATGCTAACATTTCTGTTCATTCAAGGATCTTAGAGAGTACTGTTCTAAAACATAAACATTGGTTGCTGTGACAGATGTTTTCTATCGTACTTGGGGGCATATTAGCATTAAAGGAGATATTCTGGTATTACGACTAAAAATAAACGATCTTTTTTTTTTACATTTTATTAATCTACAGTTCTTTTAATAAAATGTAAACATTTTAGTACAATCGGTCTTATAGTTTCTTTTTTCAATAAAAACGAATTCAAAGTTTAAGGTATCGTTCTCAGATAGGATAAAAGTCAAAATAATGAAATTTTTGTATTATTATTATTATTAGTTGGCATTAGAAACTCGAAAGTTCATTGCTACAAATACCAAATTCCGCCAGTGTTTTCGTCCCTGAGTGCGACCCCTCCATTCACGGTCTTCGTAGTCTATTTCTTTAAGATCCTTTCTAATATTATTCTCCCATCTACGTCTCGGTCTACCTAGTGGTCTTTTCCCGTTCGATATACCGACCAGTATTTATGTGTCATTCGATCCTCTTCCAGGTGCCACGTAACCAGCCCATTTTATTCGGTGTGATTTTACGATGTTAATAATGTCCGGTTTATTGTACAATCGATGTATTTCTACATTATGGAGTTTGCTCCATTCGCCCGTTTCCTCATCGCGTTTCGCACCGAAGATTTTATGAAGAACTTTGTTTTCGAAAACCCTAAAAGTATCTATAATCGACATATGCTAAAATAGTCAATTTTTCAAAAATTTATATAAAATTGTTCAATGTTTCAAATCATTTACAAATGTAGTATTTCAAAAGCATTTTTCTTTTTCTAACCAAAATTATTCCAAAATAATACACAAAAAAATATGTGTATTTAGGTCAGTAGAAATAATATTTTTTTTTTCATGTAAGCTTCTAGCAGATTATATAAAAGAGAATTTATATTTTATATATTCACAGCATTTGCATTTAATTAGAATTATATATTAAAGGATAACACATATGTATACGAATTTTTATAAGAATACTTACATATATATTACATATATATTGAGTAGGTCATATGTATGTTTATACAAGTACATAATTTTTAAAAAGATAAGAGATGTATATGTGATCTTTAATTTGATTTGCAGAATGGATGAGATAGATATCTTGCTTAACTAATATATATGCATAAATACATTTTGTGTCTAGTCCATAAATAATAACGAATATATTTTGAAAAACATTAACCCATTTGCATCATAAGCGTATATATACGCTCAATTTTTTTTTGTCACTATCACCGGAGCGTATATATATGTGGCTGCGTTCGGCATTGAATCCAAATATTTAATTAATAAAATAACACACTCCCTAACAGTATAAGATCACAGAGACAAGCACCGGTACTGATAACTGTTACACTGCTTTGATGTAATGATGATTTGTTATTTTGCTTATTTTTGTTATCTCTTATTTTTTTTTACTTTTATACAATTTTACATCTAAATACATAATAAAAATTTACGGTGATATTTTTCTTTCTTTTCCTTTTTCTTCATATTTCCATATGATGCAAATGGGTTAACAGTTATTACGTTAGATGCTGTATTTTCTATGCATATTTATTTACAAAAGTTTGGCTTTTTTTTTTTTAAATATATTTGATTTGTATAAACATCTATAACCTATTATGCAAAAGAAATGATATTTATATTTATGTGAATATCACATATTAGAATTCGCTTATAATCCCAGACGTCCTGGAGTTTTACGATACGGTGCTGGCGTACCTGGTTCTCTAATGCCTGGTGTAAGAATTTCTTTCCTAGGAATAAACAAAATGAAATAAAAGTAATAAGAAGAATAAAAACATGGAATAAAAGATATAAAAAAAGGAAATATTATTTTATACAAACATACTGAAAAAAAACTTACTTTTTAACAGAAGCTTGTTCGCGTTCTAGTTGTTCTTGTGCTCTTGCTTTCATCTCCTCTTCTGCTTCTTTCATTTGACCTTCCATTTCGTGCAAATGTTGCATCGCTTGTCTTCGTTTTGCACGACCACTTCGTCCTGTTTCTTTAACACTAAAGAACATTGGACCTAGTTCTGCTAACCAATGTCCATCTACCGCAGTTACACATTGCATGTATTCTTTTGCCGTCATAACTAGTTCATGGTAAACAACATAGTCAGGCGTAAAACCCATGCCAAATAAAGCTGATGTAGGATGAAGATGACACGGCATTCCTGTACGACAATTAACATATTCGCCTATACCCTTCAATCGTGCTGCCTGATGGAAATACGCAGAACATATGCATTTCCGTACTATATCCCAATCAGTGCCGCAACTGACAACTTCCATTTTTTGTTGCTTTAAGATTTCTTCCAATTGTTGACGCACTTCTCTGACTTTACGTATAGCTTTAGCATGTATGAAATGATCGTTACACCACGACGAAGAGTACCCATTAGCTTTCCATTGGTTATATACATTGAGGTAAGTTAAGTGATCTGATTCTGGAATTTGAAATTTTTCTCTTGCCGAATCAGAATCTTCTTCTCGACCTTTTGGTCGATAAAATATTGAAGGCACTGATAACATGGAAACTGTAATAACACATAAAAAAGATTATTATTGTAATTGTACCACATAAAAATTGGAACAATTTATGCTAATATTTAATAATTTGAAATTGAAACTATGACTAAGTAATTTTATTATAATTGTATAAGAATTATTTTATGGATTGATAATTTCTTGACAAAATAAAGATCATAAAATTATGGAATTTGTACTGTTTAACTAATTTTTTATCATTTTGAAATTTGGTAGTTTTCACATAATTTAACTAAATTGTTGGTATATAAATAAGATTTAAATAAAATATATACCTATAATTAAAATATCTGCGGTGCAACCAAGTTGAGAAGCAACTATTAACATTTGACATTGCGGAGGATCCAAAGGAAATTCTGCCATTTGACGTCCTAAAGGTGTCAACCGTCCTGTATGATCTAGAGCACCCAATATCCATAATTGATATAAGGAATTAAGTATATTATCTTGTGGTGGAGGATCCATAAAATGGAAAGCAAGTAAATCTTGAACTCCCAATGATTTTAGAAGTAATACAGTGTTAGCTAAATTTGTACGCTGAATTTCTGGTACTCCTGTGGCCAATAACTCATCTAAATATTGTCTACGAGTGTATAATCTGTAACAACAACCAGGTCCGGTACGACCAGCTCTTCCAGATCTCTAAATTGGAAAGGAAAATAAAAGAATTAGATAATAATAATCAAGATATTGAGTAAAATAAAGTTAAAAATAAGTATACCTGGTCAGCATTAGCTCTTGAAACAGGATACACTTGAAGAGCATCCATACCAATTCGTGGATTGTACACTTTTAATTTACAGTAACCCGAATCAACGACAAATACAATTCCATCTACTGTCAAAGATGTTTCAGCTATATTGGTTGCAACAACACATTTACGTAATCCACCTTCAGAACGTTGAAAAATTTTCGCTTGTAAATCTGACGGTAATTGAGAATATATTGGTAAAATTGAAAGCGGAGGAGCCGATTCTATCTCAGCTAATCTTTCTTTCAATGCTTCGCACGTGACTTCAATATCTTCCTGACCAGGCATGAATACCAGAATATCTCCACTTTTCGGTTGCAAATGAATTTGCAAGACTTGTTTTACAGCGGCGTCTACGTAATCTTCGACTGCATTTTTTGCATGTAAAATCTCAACAGGAAATGTTCTACCAGGAATCTGAAATGTTGCCGCGTTTCCAAAAAATGCAGAAAATTTACTCGAATCCATTGTCGCGGAAGTTACGATTAATTTTAAATCATGTCTTCTTGCAACAACCTGTAAAATTATTATTTATAAAGTAACGATAAATAAATTTTATACTGAGATAAAATAATTTGTAAAAAATATATGTAAATATTACCTCTCTAAGTAAACCAAACAAGACATCGGTAGAAAGAGATCTTTCGTGAGCTTCGTCCATAATTATAACGCTATATCTATCTAAATCACCTTCTCGCAAACTTTCTCTTAACAAAATACCATCCGTCATGTATTTTATAACAGTCTGTAAAAATAAACAGTAATAATAAGTTATCAAAATGTTTTTATATTCAAAAAAGTATATAATATTTTATAACATTACTTACATCTTTGGATGTACAATCTTCAAAACGAATCGCGTAACCAACTTTTTCTCCTAATGCTGTAGCCATTTCATCGGAAACTCTTTTGGCAACTGACATAGCAGCTACTCTTCTGGGACACGTACATCCAATTATTCCATTGCGACTATAGCCATCTTCGTGAAGGTATTGCGTTAATTGAGTTGTTTTACCACTTCCAGTTTCTCCTACTATTACGACAACACTATTTTCTCTAATAACATTCAAAAGTTCCTGTCTTACGGCAAATACAGGAAGACTCCTTCTTTGATGTTGTATAGATCGATTTTTTGCTTCTCCGGTAATTTCATTGGAACCTATATGTCTTGCATATTTCTGTCCAGCTTTAAAGTCTGTTTCTTGACCGGGAACTTCTTTATCATCTTTTCTTCTGTCACGTACACCCATAATATTACCAATATGAGTTCCAGCCAATTCCCAGTGTTTCTTTTGTGCTCTACGACGTTCTTTTTGTTCACGATATGCTCGTACCAATGCAGAACCTTTTCTTGCCACAAGTGCCATATCAGAAGTAGGATCGCGCACGGGTACAACAGGCTCTGGCTGCTTGGTGAATACGATTCGTCCTAATCAATTAATGATTACATTGTATTGTTTTATATATATATCAGCAATTAATAATAATCAAAATAATACGCAATCAGCATAAAAGTAATACATTTCAAAATAAAAATAACTTACCATCTAAAAATGGAGGTACTACGTTATGAACAAGAAGATGAACTCTTCCTTCCGCTTCATCATCCGGATCATCATCATGATCTAAGGAACTTACAACACCAGAAGTTAACATTCTGTTTCTTTCCCATAATTCATTATCTTTGTTTATTTGCCTCTGTTGAGCTGAAACTCGCTTTTGTCTTTTTGCCTCTAATTCCATTTCTTTCTTTTGAGTATATTCTTCTGATACATCAGCGAAAGCATAGTTTTCTCCATCATCTAATGCATACCATTCTCTATCAAGTCTATAGGAAAAAAAAATATACATAATTCTTTAATTATTAAGTACACAAAACAAGCATTCAGTGCAAATTTGCCATAAGTAGGACTCGTGTTTTTCATGAGTCACATGTGTTATAGTGCAAGGGCTTAATATATATTTTGTCTGTACAGTGATTAAACTCTACAATTGGATTAATTATAAGAAAAGGATTAAAAATAAAATAAATAAAATAATAAAATAACAGTAACCTTTGCTGTTCTTCCTCCCATAATTCTTTTTCTTCTCCATCTATCATTGGCGTAGTACCGGAAGGTCTATTATCCTTCACCCAAGAGTTATATTTGTACGAGGGTGTAAATTCACTTCTAACGCTGTCACGACTATCTCTAGAAGCGTAAAGGTTTGGTGTAGGATGATCCCAACTTGATTTCTTTGGTTCTTCATCCTCATCGTCATCCCAATTACTTTTGGATGTAGGATCCTGTCAGAATGATAATTATTACTTCAAATTCTACAATTGATATTTCGTAAACATTTTATAGATGACAATTACCTTGGTCCTAAATTTAGGTGTTTGCGGTTCATCCTTAAATCGAAGCGGAGTTCTTCTTATACTATCTCTGCTTCGACTACGTTCCCTATCTCTGTCTCTATCCTTTCTATTGTCTCTGTCGCGGTCATAATATCTGGAATGCTTGTCTTGCGCGCTTAATCTTTGATGTTTTAATCGCGTTTCCAATCTTCTTTGTGCTTCGGTATTTACTCCACCTGTATGAGTAGGTGTTTCTTCTTCATAAGATCTATACCTTTTTTTTCTTGTATCTAATTTGAATTTAGATTCTGCAGGTTCTTGCGAATTTTCTCGTCGTTTCTTTTCAGCTAGTTTATCCAAGCCCAAAACAGACGATTGAGGTTTTTTAAATGTGTGATCGGATGCTTTTTTTCGAATAATTAAACCACCAGGTTTATTGTCAGATCCTTCTAACCTATACAAACTGGAATCCTCCGACATAGTTCTTCACTTTTTATTTAAAAAACTTTACGTGTATTTTTATAATGTTTTCTTTTTATAGAATTTTTATATCATCTTATAACGATATGTATACGTGTATAATAAAATATAAATATTTTATTAAGTTTTTCTTCACTCAGTTTTAAAATACACAAAGGTAATATTAAACACCAACTAAAAATACAACGAAGAAAGGTTAAGTTGTTAAATTTTTGAAGGAATGTCTTGAAAAGATGGCGCTGTTGTCAAAATGCTTGTAAAGCAGTATTTATAATTAGTGAGCAGAAATAAAATTAAAATGTTGACTCGATATTGCAGATTTATTTTATGTACAACGTTTTGTTATTTACCTACATATGTCTATTTTGGTTTGAGACATGGAGCAGAAAAGAAATCTCGCGTTACCCTCGGTAGATCTTATTAATCACTGTTTAGATAGTTTGGCGATCGACCCGTTCGTAGGTGACAATGTTATGCACTAGCTTAATGTTACTGCATACTTTTCCTAGGGATTTTTTAAATTCAAGATAAATTAGAACGATCCCTAATTAGAACTTTTTCGTTACGACTTGCTTTGGCGCGAATATCATTTTATCAAAGAATATAGAAGAGCGTAGAAACTCGCAAGTCCGGTTTTTTATTTAACCAGATTCATTTTAATTAGCACCGGGACCACCAGTGGGCGATAGTAGGTACTTAACGCGATGACTGTATAATACTATCAAAGAAAAGTACAATTTATCAAAGAACTACACCAGTGGTTCCCAAAGTGGGCGATATGGCCCCCTGGTGGGTAATGAAGCGGTCCAGGGGGGCAGTGACGACCACAGGTGACTTTAGGGATGGGGGAAATAAACTACTAAAAAGAGAAAAACGTCAGCGGAGGTCGATTCGCGCTGCTATATTATGCTACACAATAATGTCAGTATATTGATACTTTGTCAATAATAATAAAATATTAGAAAGAAATTCTCTTATTTAGGCTTTTATGTTTCTTATTCAAATAGTTTTTCTCAGTTACTAAAAAAAGGTCAACAATTAACAAAATTAGGAAATTAATTTTCAAGGGGGTGATAAATTTTTGAACGGGTCAGCAACTTTAGGTATATTTAGGATCGATCATAAACCAGACGAACGAAATTAAAGAAGAACTTAAGAAAAGAATCAATTTAGGCAATGCATGCTTTTATTCAGTTAATAAATTACTCAGCTCGCGGTTGCTGTCTAGGTGATTAAAAATCAGGATATACAGAACAATCATCCTGCCAGTAATCCTTTATGGTAACGAAACGTGGTCGCTTACGTTACGGGACGAAAAGAAATTTAAGGTTTTCGAAAACAAAGTTCTTCGTAAAATCTTTGGTGCAAAACGCGATGAGGAAACGGGCGAATATAACGTAGAAGAACGTACATAATGTAGAAGTACATCGATTGTACAACAAACCGGACATTATTAACGTCGTAAAATCACGCTGTTTAAGATGGGCTGGTAACGTGGCGTGCATGGGGGAGGATGGAACGGCGCATAAAATATTGGTCAGTATACCGAACGGGAAAAGACCACTATGTAAACCGAGACTTAGATGGAAGGATAATATTAGAAGAGATCTGAAAGAAATAGGATACGAAGACCGCGAATGGAAGGATCGCGCTCAGGGACGGGAAAAATGGCGGGATTTGGTATTTGTAGCAATGAACTTTCGAGTTTCTAATGCCAACTAATAATAATAATAATAATATTTTACGTTTACTCATGAGATATTTATATTGTTCAAAAAGATAAATGTATATAAGCGCGATATAGAAATTGCACTGACGATTTTCTAAAGAAAACTGAAACAGTGTATTGTTAAAATAAAAAATCTAATATCACCTTGTTAGTAGTGTTTATTTCATGATAGTCAACTGTTTGAGGCATGTTGCTTTGCAAAATACTCGATTAACATTTTTTTTTACCGCTAGCCGATTTATCTGCTTTTAATTGCAAATGCTCATCAATAGCTAGCCGATTAATTGACTTTTATATTGCTAGAAACAAATGCATGCGCGTCTAAGCCAGTAATAACTGAACGGCAGCCTTAAAAACGAGCGGTTAATAAAAGTATCTCATGTAAAGTATGAAATAAAAATATAAATGGTATGAACGTATATGTACGCTCTTCGTAACCGAGCGTCAAGTTTTCTAGAACGTGTTTTCGGTCATACTTCAAGGGCGTATATATATAACAGTCGATGTGAAAGTTACATTATCACTGGAGAAAAAAAAATACGCATAAATTAAGTGTTCGGAATGTTGCAAAAACTGTTGAAGAGCAGTAGAACCTACATAAATCTCATCGATGGCAGTGCAACGGCGACTCGAGAAATGTGCAATCAGCAAAGTATTAAGATTCCGTTAACATGGTAACGTAATAAGAAAATCTAATTTTTATTCTTTAAATCATTGATTGAATCGAAAAAACATGAAAATGAGATATTTCATGACCAGTACGCAATACGTTAATTGGTCACGATTGTCAATTCGCAACGCGCTTGGTTTTGAATAAAAGGGAATGAAGAGCGATATCGCGACGATTCGGAATTTCTCGCAAATAAATGAACTGCGTGGCACAATTCGACATAGATTTTTAAAAACCTTTGGTACTAAAACGGTTAAATAGTGAAAATAAAATTATTGCAGTGCGGCTTTTCCGGAAAAGATTAATACAGTAATTTAAAAAATCTATGGAATTAAAGATAAATTCATCCTCAGAACAAATGATAATGATTACGCTTACGAGTACGCGGTTGAAATTTTGGTCACCATAAATATGGTTACCGCTTTATATGACATATGAACACTTAGCCGATCGATCGGGAGATCTCCCCATTTCAAAGTAAATCGGTTATTGACCGATCGAGGAGATTTCACCTTAGCAATGAGTTTTTCTTTTTTTTTACTTTTAATTTTGTTTTGCATAAAAAATATGCAAAAGCGTTAAATGAATTTGTTACCGTAAGATAATATAAATGAACACTTAAATTATTTTCAGACTTCTTGGATTTCAAATAGTGAATATCAGTGCGCATTACCCGCTAAAAATGCGTGGTGGAAACTGAACAGTTCGCTGTGGTGTGAGCGATCGACTAAGTGTGAGGATATAAATCTACATATTAAACAATATATTAACAGTCAGCATGTATTATTTCTTTTCCTAATGAGCTTATTCCTCTTCATTATGAAATATACTTTTGAAAGGTAAAAATTTAAATATTTTATAAAATAAACTTAATATTCGTTAATTGTTTGGATTAAAAAATAGTTGTATAAAAATTATTTGTAGCATAAAGCGGACATATAATACTCATTTCAATTTACATTTATTGTTCTATGGTTTATATATGAGGTGCAACTGATAATTTCCTTAAACTTTTTCACTATTTATTTAGTTCCTAATACTTTTGTTTTTATTTGGTACAGATATCTCTTCGTATTGTTTGGACAATTTCTAGGTATAAAAGATGAAAGAAAAAAAAAAGTGCGACAAATTGAAATATTGAAGAAAGCTTATATAAATAAAAAAATAAATCATGAACAAGTAAAATTTTCTTACTTATAATTAAATAAGATTTTTAAATATTAAATAGTATATTTGTATATATTAAAAAAAAATTATTTTTATTTTTATTTTTTAAAGATATTAGCATTAGCTAAACAATTGAATTGCTCAGAACGACAAATAGAAAGATGGCTAAGATTTAACAAATTTCAAGACATATCATCTACCTTAACAAAATTTTGTGAAAGCTGGTAGGTCAAATTTGTATGTAATAGGTTTCGGTTTGTATAATATTTAATAACTCATTTATAAATTTTAGCTGGAGGTGCTTTTATTACACATGTATGTTTATATATGGCCTTCTTATTTTATGGAATAAACCATGGTTTTGGAATACGACTCAATGCTATTATAACTACCCCTATCATTCAATTACTAACGACATAGGGTGGTATTACATTATTACTACGGCAATTTACTTGATATCAACTATTACCCATTTCTTTGAAACGAAAAGAAATGATTTTTGGCAAGTGTTTATTCATCATATAATCGCTATTGTGCTATTATTTCTTACTTGGGTCAACAATTTAACAAGGCTCATCTCATTAGTCATTGTACTACATGATGCTTCTGAAATATTCTTAGAAGTAAGTGTTATATATTCTTTGAAAATCTTAATCTTTTTTCAATTTCATTATTCTAAACAAACATTTTATTAGATACATATATGTATATTATTTATAAATATATATTGTGTGTGATAATCAGACATAAATGATACAGAGTCATCTGTTATGTTAGTTGTAATATATTAAATTTTTTGTAGCTGGCAAAAACGGCAAGATATGCTAATTATAAAAATACCAGCAATATTATGTTTGTTATTTTTACTATATCATGGATTTGCACACGTATTGGTATTTTTCCATTCTCGATAATTTATAGGTAACTTTATTTTTTGTTTTAAGGTAATGTTTATAATAACGAAGTCATAGTATTGAAAATTTCTTAATGCTTATTATTTTTTAGTTTATTCTTTGAAGCACCAAAACATATGTCAATGTTTCCAACATTTTATGTGATAGAAGCGTTACTCTGCCTTCTATTTCTACTACATTTATTTTGGACCTATCTTATTATTAAAGTAGCATACAATAATTTCTACACTGGACAGGTACATATTCATAAATTTAACGATATTTTAAAATGATAGAAAAGTAGATTTTTTATTTATTAAACAAATGTTGTGTAGAAAAAAGGTGATATACGAAGCGATAACGAAGATGTTTCCGATGTATCTGATAATGAGATTAATTCATCTGTTAATGATACAACAAAATACAACAAACGTAATCTAGACAAGCATTAACTATTCTCAATATTAAGATACCATATATATATATATATATATATATTTTTATGTAAATGTATAAATAATGGATTTCTTTTTTCTAGACCTAATATAAGTGGCACAATAAAATAGAAAATGTATAAAAATAAGATACAGTAAAACCTGTTTTTGTGCCGTCCTTTTTTATGCGATTTTTTTTTGTGCGATCTTTTTTTTATGCAATTTTTTTCGTGCGATTTTTTTTATGCCGTATATGAATCTCAGCGGCGTTGGCACTAGTTTAATGTTTCCTATCAGTGTACATATACATGTATGGACAAACCCTTACTACGTGGACTCCTTGACGATAAAGGAATTTAATACAATCACTGGATCAGGGCATAATCGCAAAGGAAATCGAAAAGGAGTATTTTTAATAAAAAGTCTATGTCTTGTAAAAGTTTGGTGTAAATTTTTTTAATTCAGTATTAGATTGTACTATTAATAAGTAAATAAAATAGAGTTTCTAGCAGTGGACGCAGTGGCGATGGTGGAATAATAGGAAGAAAGGTTGTAAATATGATTAGTGGAATATCGGTGTCAGTGAAAAATTCAGTTACTCAATTAATCGGAGATGTTAATGAAATTTTATTGGTTGTTAAAAGCTAAAAATAATAAATACCATATATTGAAATAGTTGAACAAAAGTGCTTAAAATAGTAGCGCCCTTCCGTACCCTGTATATATATAAAATGTTTGTTCATATTACTTTTTTCGCAAACTACAATTTATCATCATATTTATCTTACGTGTATCGAATGTTGAATTATTCAGTATTGTTAGAGATAAGTCTTCAAAAAAATAATTGTTGTTTTTAATCTTACTTGATAAATAATCGCAAAAAACTGGTTAACTTGATTATACATAAACAAGTAAATGCGTTGGAAACCTGTATTCCTTAGTTCATGATTAAAATGCTTCAAAGAAATGTTAATAAACTACTTAATAGTATTTACGCTTGTGTGATAAAGTGTCAAAGATAAAGCCAAACAAAAACTAGGCGAAGAAAGAGAATTTTTGCATATTCGCTTTATATATATAAATAAGAATATTTATACAAGAGAAGTCTTCATATTCCTACAATATTGTTATTGTTTCTTTCTTATAATTTGTTAAATTTCTATGATATTAAGTTAAGTTTTCGATAAACTAAAATGTTTTTATTAAATTTATTGATAAAGGCAATTATTTTTTTACTGAGTTGCAACTTAGTAATTTCTAAAGAATGGGAAAGTGGTTTGCGTGAAAGATATGACGGATATGGAGAAGATTGGATATTTATGCCAGATGGAAATGGTTTACCTCAAGTAGCAATATTAAAGTACGAGGATAATGCGAGAAATATTCTTGATAATAAACACATTTCTTATATTCTCTACACACGGTTTGTTTATTATATACTTATTTATCGTACGCAATGTATTATTAGAATCTTCTCTATATATTGGAAAATACAATTAAAGGTTTGGTCCAGAAAATGGTACAAAACTTATGATTAATGATACTGCAGGACTTCTCAATTCAGATTTTAAAGCATCACGAAAAACAAAGTTCATAACACATGGATGGAAGTCCAGTTCAATGAGTTCCGGTTTTATAAATATGAAGGAAGGTAGTGAATATTTTTGATCATAAAATTATATCTTTCTATATAATTGGACAAGTTTTATTTTGATTGAACAGCTTACTTGCAACATGATGATTATAACATCATTCTTGTTGACTGGGAACCTTTAGCAGCAAGTACCTTTTATCTTGGTCCTATGCAAAATACCGTTAGTGTAGGAAAGGATGCTGCTAATTTTATCGACTTTCTGGTCTCAGAAACTGGTTTAAGAGTCGAAGATGTCCACTTCCTTGGTATGTATCATCATATGCTTATTAGAAGATGAAATAAAAACTATTTGAAAAAATCATTTAACGTACATTCCTTTTATATTGTTAAATAAATCTTAGGTCATTCTTTGGGTGCACATGTTGCCGGTAATGTTGGAAGTGCAATAACTTCTGGTAAATTAGGAAGAATTACTGGATTTGATCCAGCTTTGCCCGGATTCCATCTGCTTACTTCTGATAAGACTCGTTTGGATTTAACTGATGCAACATTCGTTGATGTGATTCATTCTTGTGGTGGTATTCTAGGATATCTACAACCTGTAGGTAAAGTTGACTTTTATCCAAATGCAGGAACGGCAGTTCAGCCTGGTTGTTGCTGCGTTCCAGAAGTCATGGGTAAGAAATATCTCACGAAGACGAATTTTCAAAATAACATTACAACAACATTAACAAAATAATACCTCTTCTATTTTAGAAGCATGCAGTCACGGACGATCTTACATATACTTTACAGAAAGTATTAATTCGAAGACTGGATTTTCTGCTGTAAAATGTAAAAATTGGGATCGTTTTGTAAGTGGTGATTGTTCAGATTCTGAGGCAGTTTTAATGGGAGAACACGTAGATAAATCTGCCAATGGATCTTATTTTCTTAGAACAAGATCTGAGTCGCCTTATGCATATATGCCAGAAATAACTAGTAATGATATTTAAATTTTATTGAAATTATACTTTTTTGGAACGTTAGGGAAAAAATAATGAGAGTGAATTTTTACGATACGTGCGCAGAGCGATACGAGAAAACAATTTAATTTTTAACGTATTAAGAAGAAACGATTCTTATAATTTTTTGATAGTGATGTCTAATGATTAAGAAAAGAATCTACTATGGTCTATTAACTTTCATCTAAACAATTAAAGCTTGTCTCTTTGTTTTTTGCTTAACGCATTAAATACCACGCTGATCTTTATAGACCAACCTTAGACTTTTCATCCAGTCCATGTTGGTCACCAATAGCCGATATTCCTATGCTTTTTGGGACTGACAGATTATAGTAGCCTAAACAGAGAGTTTAACAAAAGAAGCTTGGTGTTTAACCCATTGATGGCCAACTACGAGATATCTCGTAGTATGTGCTGCAATTTTAGATTAATTACAAACGGTTATTTGTTTTAAGAATTATTACAAAGGTTGAATAAAATATTTATATGGTGTAAAAAACATTACTTATCAATTATTGTAAATATCATTACAATATTATATCAATAACTTGATATTATTATATTTTTAAAAGTTTAAGGCAAGACGCTCTAAATATGTTTGGCAATCAATGGGTTAATCTGTTAATTAAAGAAAATATATAACACTATAATCTCTCTTTATAATTCTAAAAAATATATGAAATATTTGATTTAGTTTAATAAATAATAATTGTATTATGTCACAATAGAGCAATTTTTTCATTGATAGTTTGGCTTACCTATAATTTTTGATGTATGAATTTTTTGATTATATTCGGTTTGAATAGAAACACTTTCACTATCTTTAGAAAGAACTTGGAAAACTTCAAAGTCTGATTGTCTTATAGATACTAAGTTGTTTTTAGAACCCATACTATTGTCAACTATTATCTAAAAAGATGATTTAATCATTCTTTTAATCGTCGTTCTTACAGTAGAAGTAAATTAACATTAATTAGTAGATCTATATCTCACCAAATCAGGATCATGTCTCCATTCTCCATCGACATAAAATTTGTATTGATGTTCATCTTCCGATAAGTCGATAATAGTAATAAAATCACCATGACTCTTTACCATAGGCAATATTTCCCATCCAGTGAACGTTCCATTGATATATACTTGGTCTCCACCGCCTTCCCATTTAAAAAATGTAAGCAATACTTTGCTACTTGCAACCTTTGTTCCTTCGGAAACTGTATTTGATCTTGAACATGAGCTATCAAAATTATTTTCATCCTTTTGGCTTGTCTGTATAAAAAAGCAAATATATATTTATTGTCGTACAAAATATATGTTAATAATTGTTAAGTACTTTTGTATAATAAGGCTATTCTTCTTCGTGAGACGACTGGAAGACTAGATTATGAGGATTTTTGTCAAAGATAAATGCTTGGCCTTCTTTTTCTGGAGAGGGTGGTGTGTGTTTTTTTACCATAACGAGGATCTCTATTTGAATTATGACTTTGACTCACTGTTTGATTGCTTCTAGCATTTCCCATTATTGTTTGATAATGACACTAATTGAAGTACAAAAGTAATTTTTTCAATAGGTTATGTTCTCGTAATAAAAAGTAATCATGTAGAAAAAAAATTTTTGTTTCTTTCTTACCAAGTAAAATATGCGAATTTGCTTTTAATACGATTCTGCTATTTATCACATAAATTGTTAATAAAGTGAAAAGTATACAAATACTTTGTTACACTTGTCATGTACATAATGTTACAATCTAATAATAAGAAGAAACAGTAGATGAATAGTAGTCAGTATATGCTTGATTGTTGACATTTGTAGTTTAGATAATAGGCGGGAAATTTGAATAGAGCTCTTTCATTTCCTATCTAATTGACTACGAATTTAAAAATGAAATTTATAATAAATGATATTGTAAAAATTTGATGTTATTAATGTTTGATATTTTAAATATTTTGTGTCTATAATTTTTACATATACAATGTTTTTTTAGGAAATACCCTTCGATTTATAAGGTAAGGTGTTCATGTTTCTCATTTTTCAATAATAACAATTATTTTTATATATAATAATTACATGATATTAACATGATGGAATAAAAAGTGTCCATACCAACAATTGATAAGGTAGAAAACAAAACAGATTTGCATTATTTTAGGGATTAGACAGACTTTCCTCTTAAACGAAAGTTTTATGTAATTGTGGGTATTATGCGCGGGTATAAATGAGAAAGAAAAAAATTAAGAAGCTTTAAGTTACGTTGATTTAAAAACAGAAAAAAATATATTAGTGCTAAGAGTAAGTAAAGAGATAAAAAAAAATAAGGATTGAGTAAGTACAATGATGAGATTGATTTATTAAGTACATTGATGAGAAGCATGAAAAATTGAAAATTAAATGCTCATCACTTATTATTCAGTATGGCTTACAATTTCTCCATGATAATACTTGAAAAGATATGAAATATTATATATTCACTTAAAAATCTGACATTTCATATACACCAATCTAATATTATTTCCTAAAGTTGATATACTTCAATGTATTAACATAGCATCTTCGACCATATCGTTAATGTAACTATTACTACATTTATATAATAATTGTAATTTTTATATAAATATATAATAATTTTTTTTATAGATATGTTTTAATCTTCAAATAAAAAGAATTGATTATTTATCGAGATGGAGTAGATACTATCACTTAATATCTTTTAACACATATGTAGGCAATAAATCGATCTTTATGACACGTAAATAAAAAAGTTGGAAAACCATTAACTGAAAACAATTAAAAAGATGATGTTTACATATGAAATAATTAAAATAATATCTGTGATTTGATAAAATAAATATTATGAGCTTTTAATGAAATTTAAAGAAAAATTTTTTTTGTTTTTTCAATATCATATAGAAACGAATTTGTGGGTTTTAAGATAATAGTCGATTAAAAATTTGGTATTTTCACATAGTTTTAACGCTAAAAGCCGGCAATTATCTGTAGTTCTTCAATAACAATTATTATAATATACTTTCGATATCTTATTTTATATTTATTTGTTCTTTGACGGTTGCCCAAATCTTTCGCTGAAGTTGCACAAGCTTTGAACGAAAGATTATGCTCCGTCTTAACGTCATACGATAAAAGCAATAAGCTAATAATATAATAACATATATTATAATATAATAAAAAATAATATAATTCGTAATGATAATTACGAATTATTTTGTGAATTCCGTAATTCCAGTTCATAATCCAGCAACGGTCACAGCAAAATCGTTCTGATTCGTACGAAAAAGAAAATATATTCAATATTGTATATAATTAATATGTTCTTTGTCTTGACTTTCGATTTTGTTAGTTGTATTATTGGCAGTTGCATTATTGTATTCGTGCAATGAATCTATTATTACTTCTCATTCGATAGAGTATCTGTAACATTTTTTATTACAGACGAAATTAAGTAAATGTTTTTTTTGGAAAATGCGATGTGTTAAATTAATATAATAATTATAACACATACGAGTAACATTGAAAAAAATTTAATTCGTATTTAACTTTATGAATTATAATATAAAAAATGTCTCAATGCATATATATATATAAATTAATTTCTTACCCACGAATATATCAACATTTGTACAATCGCAATAAAGGTTAATAATATTAGAGAGCAATAAACGTTCAATATTAAAATACTCATTAACAATGTTTTGAAAGACCATCCTAGTTCTATCAATATATCCCAAAGAGTCCTAAAAATAGATAAATATGTTAATGTTAATAAATTAACAACTATATTTGTATAGAATAATGTATAGAAAATATAAAAAATATTAAATTACCTATAAATTGGAGACATATTCCAAATAATATAAGTTGTGTAATACGATATTATCGTTAATAAATACATATGGATGAATTGTATTTGATAATTTTCTGTATGTGTTGCTAATTCATCTAGCTGTAAAGAAATGTAATATATTATTGTATATCTTGTACCAAAATGAAAACTATTACTTTGTAAAAAATTATGAATATATTTTGTACTTTGTATAAAACAGATAGAAAAATTATATCAACAGCCTATTGAATACATATGACCCTTAAACTGACAAGACAAACAAAATTCATACTGCTGAACTTTTAATCGAATAACTTATAGTCAATGAAGCGCTAGTTGCGGTCAGAAAGTAAAAAACAACAAATCCCTGGAAATCAATTTAATAATTTCGGAGTTAATTAAGTCCGTGGCTTGTAAGCTAGCTGAAGGACTAAAAAAATGGATCCATATTATTTGGGAGAAAGAGGGTCTGCTGGATGAAAATGGAAGGTGTATATAATTTTTTCAGTGTTTAAAAAGAGAGATAGGACAATATGCGGAAACTGTACAGGACCTACTCTCGTCATGTTATAAGGTTCTATCGAATCTACTATTACAAAAACTAACAGCATATGCAGAAATTGTTGATTTCGGCAAAATAGTTTCATGAGCGACCAACTATTCACAATTGGACAGCTGTTAGAAAAAAAAATGGGAATTTCACTAGAGGATGTACTAACTGTTCATTGACTATAAGAAAGTATACGCCTCCGGTGAAAGGATCAAAATATACTACGTGTATTTAATTAATGTATCAAGCTGGTATTTTATATCAGCTTTTCTTTTAAATATTTTGATTTCTTCTGTACTGACAAAAATTATTTACGCAATTTTCATTTCAGTAAAAAGAATCCACATCAAATGGATACTCTACGTAAATTGAGAGATAGGTGCATATAAGAAGTATATAAAAATTAATGAAGTGAAAAATAATACGAATATTCAAATATAATAATATTATATATTGTACTTACGTATCTATGTTGATCATAACAACTAAATATAAGTATGAGTACCGAAGTAATCCTCACGAAATTTATGGTCCATGATATATGCAACAATATAACAACAATTGTCTGTTTTATAAAAGTAAATGTAGATCTTGGTTCTTTCAACAAGAAAATAGTACAATACAAAAGCCAATAATATGCGAAATTTAACATATAATACCACCAAATATCATTAGTTACCATGTGATCTGATAAATTAATATAGCATAGTTTTATATTGTTAAACCATGGTTTATTCCGAAGAACAATAAAACCATAGATAAAAAAACATATGGTGCTAACAAACCTCCAACTAAAAATAAAACATTTTATTAAATATAGTTTTAAAATATATGTACAATATTTATAACTTTTATCTACCAGTCTTCGCAGAATATATCTAACATACATGGTTTGTCTTTAAGAGATCTATAATATAACCATTCACATATTTCTGGTATAGAACACCTCAATTTTCTAGCTAAGTCTAATATCTTGAAAATAAAATTAATTAATGTTAAGATATTCTATGTAGATTGTTCAAATATAATTTTATTGAGAAACATTTACCTGTCTATGATTATTTATTATTTGC